ATCTAGTAGTTTCATGTATTTTCATTAATTTTCCTCATTTCTATTTCTTCCTGTTTTCTTTGCATGTAATTTTGAGGGTTTTCTATAAGTTTTCTCCTTGGTTTCTTAGTTCAGTGATTGCCATTGTTACCAATATATGTATGTACATATATTTGTGCCCAATTTAGAGCCTTGGTGGTGCAGTTGTTAACAGCTTGACTGCTAACTAAAAGGTCAGCAGTTTGAATCCACTAGCCACTCCTTGGAAACCCTGTGGGGGCAGTTCTACTCTGTCTTATAGGGTCACAATGAGTCACAATCCACTGGACGGCAACAGGTTTGGTTTTTTTGGTGCCCAATTTAGCATAGCATTACCTGAATCCCTAAAGTAAAAATTTACAGTAATTATTGGACTTAGCACATGCCTTACGTTTATTCCAGAATAAACACCTCTAACACCTCAGTTTTTAATCCACAAACGTATTCTTTATACTCCTTTTTCCCTGTTCTCTTCATCAGGTGCACTGCAAAGGCAAGCACGGAGTAGGCGGATTGTTTTCAGCAAGAGTCAAAAGGATGCCCTCCAAGCGTCATTTGAACAGAATCCTTACCCTGGTATAGTGTCCAGAGAAAAACTGGCCAAAGAAACTGGCATTCCGGAGTGTAAAATTCAGGTTGGCATTAAGTTTCTATTTCATTTTATCTCAGAGAAAAGCTTGGTAGAAAAGGAGGGCTAAGCGCTTTCTAGCAGTTCTCTTATATAAGTATTTTGCTTAGAAGATATTTCCTATTAGATAATGTTAAAAATAAAATAAAAACAAGAATAGTTTTATACCTTTTAGAACCGCTGAAAGTATTGAATGGATGTATTCACTGATGGTGGTAGGGTAAGGTACTTGTTCAGTATTTCCAGTTAAAGTGATAGATTATATTTGAGACTTTACTGACTTTAGGAAATGGGATCACCAAGATAAGTTATGGTGTCATGTTAATTGTTAGAATAGACACAACAGAATAATGATTAATATATAATTATGTAGAAACTTGGGGGTAAGAATTCACAGAATTTCTCAATTCTCAGGCTAGTTTTTCTTTTTAGTTAAATGTTTCAAATTTGACCTACACACCAGAGTGTTTGGAGCCAAATTCCCTATTCAATTACTTTAACAGTATTATTGATGTAAAAATAAAATCAATCTGAGTTTTTCCAGTTATCAAAGAGATAGCTTTATCAGAAGAAGAAGAAGAAGCAGTATTTTGAGTTCCAAAGAATAATAAAAATTACTTTTTTGGGGAAAATAATGAGTTCAGGGTTTTGCATCAAATATAATCTCCAATAAGCCATTGGGTGTAAGGGTTTCAGTCTAAACCTGGACAGTCTGCTGGGATATGGACAGAAGAAACTTTTGTTATCTCTGCATGCATCAGTTCTGGGTGGGGGAGATGGGATTTACACATATTCCATTACTGAAAGTACATCCTATAGGAATACTGGTGATTGGCTCACTGTGAGGCACTGGATCCATTTGAATTGATGGTGAGAAAGGAAAGTCTAGGAAACTATGTAGGATGAGAGTGGCTCTCCTATGCTTTTTGGTAATTTATACATTAGTTCAAATTTCCACCTGTTTTGAAGACTTCTTATCTGCAAGTATTTTGACTGATAGAGAGAAGAGATATAAACTTTTAGCCAAATATTTGGGATAGAAGAGTGGTTTAACAGATGTTGTTTGTTATCTTGGTCATCCAGTGCTGCTATAACAGAAATTCCACAAGTGGATGGCATTAACAAAGACAAATTTATTCTCTCACAGTTTAGTAGGCTACGAGTCCAAATTCAGGGCATCAGCTCCAGGGGGAGTCTTTCTCTCTCTGTCGGCTCTGGAGGAAGTTCCTTGTCATCAATCTTCCCTTGGTCGAGGAGCTTCTCAGGTGCAGGGACCTCGGGTCCTATGAATGCAGTCTGCTTCCAGTGCTGCTTTCTTAGTAGTATGAGGTCCCCTGCTCTCTGCTTGCTTTCCTTTCTGTTTATCTCTTGCAAGATAAAAGGTGGTACAGGCCACACCCCAGGGAAACTCCCTTTACATTGGATCAGGGATGTGACCTGAGCAAGGGTGTTACATCCTACCCTAATCCTCTTTAACACAATCTAATCTTGCCTAAATTTCTCATATGCAAGTTCAAGTTGAAACTGAAGAAAATTAGAACAAGTCCATGAGAACCAAAGTAGGACCTTGAGTATATCCCACCTGAATTTAGAGATCATCTCAAGAAAAAATTTGATTTGTTGAACAGTAGTGACCGAAGACCAGATAAGTTGTGGAATGACATCAAGGACATCATACATGAAGAAAGCAAGAGGTCATTAAAAAGACAGGAAAGAAAAAATGGATGTCAGAGGAGACTGAAACTTGCTTTTGAACGTCGAGTAGCTAAAGCAAAAGGCAGAAATGATGAAGTAAAAGAACTGAACAGAAGATTTCAAAGGGCAGCTTGAGAAGACAAAATAAAGTATTATAATGACATGTGCAAAGAGCTGGAGATAGAAAACCAAAAGGGAAGAACACACCTGACATTTCTCAATCTGAAAGAACTGAAGAAAAAATCCAAGCCTTGAGTTGCAATAGTGAAGGATTCTATGGGGAAAATATTAAACGATGCAGGAAGCATCAAAAGAAGATGGACAGAATACACAGAGTCATTATACTAAAAAGAACCGGTCGATGTTCAGCCATTTCAAGAGGTAGCATATGACCAGGAACTAATGGTACTGAAGTAAGAAGTCCAAGCTGCACTGAAAGCATTGGGGAAAAACAAGGCTCCAGGAATTGACAGAATATCAATTGAGATGTTTCAACAAATGGATGCAGCACTGGAAGTTCTCACTCATCTATGCCAAGAAATTTGGAAGACAGCTACCTAGCAAATCTACTGGAAGAGATCCATATTTATGCCTATTCCCAAGAAAGGTGATCCAACCATATGTGGAAATTAGCAAACAATATCATTAATATCACACTCAAGTAAACTTTTGCTAAAAATCATTCAAAAGCAACTGCAGCAGTATGTCAATAGGGAACTGCCAGAAATTCAAGCCGGTTTCAGAAGATGACGTGGAACCAGGGATATCATTGCTGAAGTCAGATGGATCCTGGCTGAAAGCAGAGAATACCAGAAAGATGTTTACCTGTATTTTATTGACTATGCAAAGGCATTCGATTGTATGGATCATAACAAATTATGGATAACATTGCAAAGAATGTGAATTCCAGAACACTTAATTATGCTCATGAGGAACCTGTACACAGATCAAGAGACAGTTGTTCAGACAGAACAAGGGGATACTGCGTGGTTTAAAGTCAGGAAAGGTGTGTGTCAGGGTTGCATCCTTTCACCATACCTATTCAATGTGTATGCTGAGCATATCTGAGAAGCTGGACTACATGATGAAGAAAGGGGCATCAGGATTGAAGGAAGATTCATTAACAGCCTGTTATATGCAGATGAGATAACCTTGCTTGCTGAAAGTGAAGAGGAGTTGAAGCACTTACTGGTGAAGATCAAAGACCACAGCCTTCAGTATGGATTACACCTCAACATAAAGCAAAAATCCTCACAAATGGACCCATAAGCAACATAATGATAAATGGAGAAAAGATTGAAGTTGTCAAGGATTTCATTTCACTTGGATCCACAATCAACACCCATGGAAGCAGCAGTCAGGAGATCAAAAGAGGCAATGCATCGGGCAAATCTTCTGCAAAAGACCTCTTTAAAGTGTTGAAAAGCAAAGATGTCACCTGGAAGACTAAGGTGCGCCTGACCGAAGCTATTGTGTTTTCAACTGCATCATATGCATGCGAAAACTGGACGATGAATAAGGAAGACCAAAGAAGAATTGACACCTTTGAATTGTGGTGTTGGCGAAGAATATTGACTATACCATGGACTGCCAAAAGAATGAACAAATATGTCTCAGAAGAAGTACAGCCCGAATGCTTCTTAGAAGGAAGGATGGCGAGACTACGTCTTACATACTTTGGACATGTTGTCAGGAGGTATCAGTCTCTGGAGAAGGACATCATGCTTGGTAAAGTACAGGGTCAACGAAAAAGAGTAGGACCCTCAACGAGATGGATTGACACAGTGGCTGCAACAATGGACTCAAGCATAACAACAATTGTGAGCATGGCGCAGGACTGGGCAGTGTTTTGTTCTGTGGTGCATAGGGTTGCTATGAGTCGGAACTTACTTGACGGCACCTAACAACAACAACAACAATCTTGCGTTATTAACCACAGGCAGAGATTAGGATTTACAACGCAAAGGAAAATCACATCAGATGACAAAATGGTAGACAATCACACAGTACTGGGAATCATGGCCTAACCAAGTTGACACATATTTTTGAGGGACACAGTTCAATCCACGACAGTTGTCTTTTAGGTTATAGTCTTCCCATGGATTATCAAAGTATTAAAAAAAATGCTCAGAAATGATTAGAAAGTATGAATGATAGTCTGACTCCATTAATGATAAACCAAACACAGAGTTCATTTGTTTCTTTAGTGACAATAGTTTCAAAGTGAGACGTTCGAGTTCCTTGGAATCTCCTTATTTTTCTTGTTTTTTGAATATTTTATTGTGCTTTTGGTGAAAGCTTACACAGCAAATTAGTTTCCCATTCAATAACTCATATACAAATTGTCCCATGACATTGATTGCAATCTTATCATTCTCCCCATTTCCACCCTGGGTTCCCTGTTTCCATTTATCCAAATTTTCTGTCCCTTCCTGCTTTTTCATTTTTGTTTTCAGGCAAATGTTGCCCTTTTGGTCTTGGATAGTTGATTGTTCTAAGGAGCACATTCTTCATGGGTGTTACTGTTCATTTTATAGGCCTGTCTACTGTCTGGCTGAAAGGTAACCTCTGGGAGTGGCTTCAGTTCCAAGTTAGAAGGGTGTCTCAGGGCTATAGTCTCAGGGGTTCCTCCAGGCTCTATCAGGACAGTAAGTCTGGTCTTTCTTATGAATTTGAATTTTGTTCTACATTTTTCTTCCACTCTAACCAGGACCTATTATTGTGTTCCTGGTCAGAGTGGTAGTGGTGATAGCAGGGCACCATCTAGTTCTTCTGGTCTCAAGCTGAAGGAAGCTGTGGTTCATGTGGGCCATTAGTCCTTTGGACTAATTGCTTCTTTGAATCTTTGGTTTTCTTCATTCTCCTTTGCCTCCAGACAGGAGGAGATCAATAGTTGTATCTTAGATGGCCACTCTCAGCTTTTAAGATCCCAGATGCTACTTACCAAAATAGGATGTAGAACATTATCTTTATGAACTGTGGTATGCCAATTGGCCTAGATGTTCCCTAAGTCTATGGTCCTTAGCCTTCAAGCCCAGTCACTAAGTCTGATGAAATATTCAGTTATGTCTAAGAAGTTTCCATAACTGTGCCCTCTGTTATATATATGAATATCCATGCTGCACATACAAATATGTATGTATAAATATCCACAACCATAACTATATATGCACACAGGTGTTCTCCTGTATGACAGTAACACCTATTTAGCATGCATATTTACATAAATATCCCCTTGTAAATTACTGTTTGTTATTACAGTTGTTGCAGGATTAAGTATGTTATAGTATTTGCCGTAGTTGCCCTATATTC